TCCCCTTTGCTTTTTCCCACAAAAACGAAATCCAGCTTGCCCTCCGGAGACCTGTCGCCGAGGTCTGGACAGAAGCGACACAATATTCATCAAGAGGCAAACTTTTTTTTCTTCTTTTTTGCTCGTTTTCCGCATAAGGAACTGCATTTTTCAAAATCAGCAAAAAAATCCCAAAAGAGTTTCATATGTAACAACGACATACAAGGAAATGAGAAGTCCTTCTCGCTAGACCGCACATTATATGAAAGTGCGCCCTTATAACTGAATTTAATGCGCATCGTAGATTTTGGATAAAACTTGCAACGTCTTAGCAGTTCTGACCAAGTCAGCAGCACTTACAATTACCCTTTTTCAGCACCTTTCATTTGCACATACTTAACATTATAGGACGAAACGTAATCAACGCAATAAGGTTGAAAAAAGTAGCACTACCACAACTATTAGTTTAAACTAAGGGATAGTGTCAAGACTAACCTATTAACTTATATTCACTGCACTAAGAGCAAACTGTGGACGATTCTGGATTTTCATGTGAACACTTACGTGAGCTGTTCGATGTTAATTCATCGTCTCGCCAAGAAGGGATTGTCGCCTGCTGATACATTGTCTGTGATGACGAAGGATCACTATTCACAGTCCAGCCAGGAGGTGGTGGTGGCGGATGTAATGGTGGAGGTGGTCGTGAAGGAGCGGGACGAGGTGGGGAAGACGAGCTTGAAAGTTCGGGATTGGATGACGAGCGAGCTGCTGGTGATCCTGCAAAGGATCACTGCCTTTTGGGTTCAGTTATGACCGATATCATCTCTTAACTAAAATACTATGAGCGATTTACGCATAAAATACCATTGGACCGCCATAACTGTGTTTAATACTTATATTGAAAATCACCGAAATTAAATGTGATGTGACAGCCTGAAAGAAAAAGACAACACACTCCCAACAATACGACACGCTTGACCATTTTCGTAAGTATGTTCACTAATTTTGTCAAGCTGTCCAAAAGTCGTTTAGTGTAAAAATTTGGAATAATATTTGAGACCTAAAACAAGTAAAAGCTCTACATAAGAATAGGTTAGTTCTGGGATTTCTTAAACAAACAAATTTTCATACAGACAGAACCTCCTTCCCAATCCTAGCAACAAAAAAGCC